TCAGGACCCCTCCAACTGCCCCCCCCATGCCAGCCTGCTTGCCCCCAACTGCCCGCCCTGGCTGGTCTCCCAGAAGGTCTCCTGGTCTAATTAGCATATTACCCTTTTATTAGTATAGACTAGAGGCCTGGTGCATGAAATTCATGCATGGGGGGGTCCCTCAGCCCGGCCTGCTCCCCTGCCGGCCTGATTGCCCCTACTGCCTGTGCCTTGGCCCCGCACCCGGGACCCACGAATCCCTCCTCTGGCCGGTCGCAGGCACCTGGAATCGCAAAGCGGGCGGCTTTTCTCCGTCTCCCAGGCCGCAGGTGCTGGCGCCTGGGAAGGCAGGGTGGGCGGCTTTGCCCGGGCCCAGCTTTGTCAGGAAGGACGCCCGGTCTAATTAGCATATTGCCCTTTTATTAGCATAGATGCTCAGCTTAAACACCAAACCGTGAGCAGAGCAGCCCTTTGCTGCGCCCGTGGGGCCCTGAAGCCAGAGCCCAGCTTGTCATTTCCACAGAAGAAAAGCATGTTCTCGCCCACCTCACTCCTCTAACCTGGCTGACTCCTGTGGTCTTGGGGGGCCCTGTCCAGAAGGCCTGGCCCAGGAGCAGGGGGAGGTGGAGAAGCCCTCAGGGACAATTGGGGCCGGCAGCTGCTGCTTGTACCCAGTGATGGCACTGAGTGATGGGGACTGGTGCTGGGCACCGGCAGCGGGTGTGAGTGGCAGCTCTGGCGCCAGCTGCAGGTGAGAGTGGGGCTGGCGCCGGCAGTGAGTGTGAGTACCTCAGAAGCAGGGGAGGTAGAGAAGCCCTGAGGGGCAATTGAGGCTGGCAGCCACTGCTTGCACCCACTGATGGTGCTGAGCAATCAGGACTGGCCCCGGGTGCCAGCAGTGGGTGCGAGCGGTGGCTCCGGTGCTGGCAGCAGATGTGAGCGCTGGGCGAGACTGGTACCCTGCCTTGGTCCGGCACCCCTGCTCACATGCTCCACCATCCTGCCATGGCCAATGCCCGCCATGTTCCGCACACGTCCCCTGGTGGTCAGTGCACGTCATAACAACTGGTTGTTTGGTTGTTCCGCTGTTTGGTCTATTTGCATATTAGCCTTTTATTATATAGGATATTTTGTGTTAATCCTCACCGAAGGACATTTTTCCATTGTTTTTAGAGAGAGTGGAGGGGAGAGGAGAGACACGGAGAAAGAAACATTGATATGAGAGAGACACATTGATTAGTTGCCTCCTGCAGGGCCAGGGATTGAGCCTGCAACCTAGGTCCATGCCCTTGGCCAGAAGCAAACCCAGGACCCTTCAGCCCACAGGCCGACGCTCTATCCATTGAGCCAAACCAGCTAGCGGGCATGTTTACGCCCACGGGGGAGGACAGAGGGTGTGCCGAAAAGCGCAAGCTCGCAGAAGACGCCCACGTGTGTCCGTCCACACCACGCCTGGGCACGCATCGCCAGGCGGGAGAGAAACCCCAGTGTCAGTCGCGGTTCTATTTTGATGACGGGATTAGGGAGGTTTTTAGAATTTTTGTCTCGATTTGAAAAATCTGTGCTTTCTACTTTTTCCGCTACAATAAGCTCCTATGACATTAACACAAGAGACCAGAGCGGGAGAGATAATTAAATCACCGAGGAGACCAGAAGTGTGGGTTTCTCATCTCTTTTAAAGCTGGTTTTCTATGAAAAGGTTCGCTCGTGGCAAAAACATTAAAACCGTGGAGAAAAGTTCAAAAGTGGAAACTAAGAGCCCCCGGCCGACACGCCGCCTTTTGCGCTCCGTCCCCACCGCCCAGTGGCGTTGCTGGTTCATTTCCCCAGAAAATGTCTTACATATAAAACACCTTTTCTCCTACGCAAGTGGGATTTGATGTATGTTCTGGAACCTACTTTTTTGGTTACACTATTTCTTAGACGTGGTGACCTATGAGCACATGCAGCTCTCCCTTGTTGGACAAAAAGGTGTTGCCCTGCCCGGCATGGCTCAGCGGGCTGGGCACTGTGTGCACACTTCACTGTGCCCGGAAGATCCGCTTGGATGTGGGTTTGAGTCTGTCTTGGGTAGCAGCTGGGACCGGCCTTCAGGTCCCCAGGAATGGAAGCCGGGGTACAGGGTGGGGGGGTTCGCTCTGGGACTGGCTTGTGAGGACCTGCAGGGAGGGGAGGGGGCGTTCGCAGCTGCTGGCAGAGGCTTCCGTGCCAGGCGGGCAGGGCTGACCCACATCAAGTGCAGCATCCGGGAAATCACCCAGGGCTCCAGGCTGTGCTGGCCCCGGGGCTGCGGGCTCCTCCCGGCCCCTGACGGGACGCCTGAGCCCAGCCTGTGCGCGGATTCCCCCGTGTCACCCCGCGTGGCAGAGAGCCGTGCATGATGAGCCCGGGCCTCCACGCTTCACATATTAAATCTGTTCGGAATATTAAATAATTCCCCTTCGGTGATCCCAGTAAATTTAATTAGCGCTGGGCCTCCCGATGGACTCGTCTGCCGGTTCTGAGATGTGTTCGAGGAAGGAGGCCTGGGCTCCTGTGGGGCGCGGGCAGGGCTGGGGGGGTCCCCGCTCCCACTCAGAGCTCCGTCTCTTGCCCCTGCTTAC